CGGATCGCCGGAGCCCAGCGGGTCGAGGCTGCGGTGGCCGGGAGCGGCCACTGCACTCCAGTCTGGGTGACAGTGAGACTCCAACTCAAAAAAATAAAAATAAAAAAAATAAAAATAAAAATGTGTAATCATGTGACTATGTTACTTAATTTCACCATGAAAATGAGATCTCCTGTGGATAGAAATACCTAGCATGATTGATACCTGAAAACTAAAATAATTAAATGTGCGTTTTTCTTCTTTTCAACATTAACAAGTAGAAAGTTGACGACCCGTGCATTTTTTTTCCAGTGAGTAAGTAGCTGAAACTGAACTTTTCTGTATTCAGCTCAGAGACACAGGGGATAACTGACAGTTCTTTCTCCTGTCTGCCTCATGGAAACGGACCACAGGTGGATGCCAGCCAAGCACCGGAGTGCAAACCAGAAAGTGCAAAATAAACGCCCTTTCCAACTTGTCTCTCTTCACGGGAAAGCCTCAGTTTCTGTCTCTTTACATTTTTTCTGTCACAGCCTCCCACCCCCTTACAGGACACTCCGAGTATCCTTGAGATTTGTACCTGCTGGTTACGATCTGTTACTTCCTTGTCAGACAATGGCCACAACTATACAACCCTGATAGAACTGTCTAATCAAACAACAGCAAGGAATCTAGACATACCAGGTGGGGCTCGGCTGTCTGACCCTTGTCAGACCCATCAAACTGCCCCACAAGTCTTTTTCAATTCAGTTGTATAGATATGGCCTTACAGTCAACCTGGAAAAGCTTTAATATGCTTATTGCCATTGCTTATCTGTTAGGGAACAGGCAGGATGGTGGCACAAGGGAACCATGGCTGCCAACAAAGAGAATGACAACTCACTTGAAAAGTTGCACTATTTCCAGGAATTAGAAAATGTTCCCTTGCCCCATCGTGGAAGAGACATCCTCATAAGAATGGGAATCTGTCCCTCTTTCTCAGGGGCTGCTGGGGGCGGAGAGAATGACATTCTATTTATCTAGGTTTAGTAGACAAAGAAAAACTCCAACGTTGACGAGAACGAGAAGCCCAGGTAAGTCTGCCTAAAAGAACCTGGCTCTGAAATGATCCTTTCTTCTGCTCATCAGAATGGTCTGTTGGCGAGTCACCAGCTGGGGACGAGCAAGACAAGCAGAACACCAATTCTCAGCTTGAATCTGTCCTGTTTGTTGAAAAACCTCAGACAGGAAAAGTGAAAGTTGGTGAGTGCCTAGCATTACATTCACGTATCACCAAATCGGCCATTTTGAAGTGAGCAATTCGGTGACTATTATTAGTACATTCACAGTGTTGTGCAACACCACTTCCATCTAGCTCCAAAACAGGTCTGTCACCCCCTAATGACCCCGTGCCCCATTAAGCGTTACTCCCAACTGCCCTTTCTCCCTCAGGCTCTGGCAACCACTAATCTGCTTCGTTTTATGGATTTTCCTATTCTGGAAATTTCATATAAATGGAATCCTACATGAGATCTTTTGTGTCTGACTTCTTTTACTTAGCTTAACGTTCCTGAGGTCCAGCCACATTGTCGCATATATCAGTCCTCCGCCCCTTTTTACAGCTGAATAATATCCCATTGCATGTATAGTGAGTCCCCTACATACGAAACTTCAAGATGCAAACTTTCAAAGATGTAAATGTGCATTCGCATGTTCAATCACATAAGATAGTCCATGTGCCTGGCATACACTGTCATGGCTGTGCATCCTTTACAAGTAGTTGTGCTTTTGTGTACTTTACTGTACAACACTATGTAGGGTACAGTAGTGCAGTATCTTTATTTCAAGCCCAGGATGTCCAGAAGCAAGCGTAAAAGCAGTGGTGATGTAGCTGGTACCTGTATAGCCAATTGTGTTAGTCAGGTACCTAGGCTGACTTTGTTGGACTTTCAAACAAACTGGACTTACAAACGTACTCTCAAAACACAACTTGTCTGTACATAGGGTACTTAATGTAGATACTAAATCCTGCTTTCTAGAACCTGAAAAGGTGAGTGGCGGCTATTATTTCAGCAACCTTCAGCACACAGGAATCCAGAGCCTGGACTCTGGAACCAGGAAGCTTGGATTCAAATCTTGATTCTGCTTCTTGCTAGCTATTGTCCTTGGGCAGTGTAACCTCTTTATGCCTCAGTTTGCCCATCTATAAAATGCAGATAATAACAGGGCCTACCTGTGAAGTACGTTGGGCAGAGACTGGCACATCATAAAGCTCTGAGGCAGAGTCTGCTGTCATCACCACAACTCATTCCATAGATGATTCCAAATCTGCACACATGCTGGGTCATAGCACATGATATATCAGATATCATGCAGCGAGTCGGACAGTTCAACTCTTAAAATATTCACTCAAGAATATCGATTATACACCTCCTGTTGGAGACACTGTGCTGAACACTAGGTATAACATGTGAGCACTCAGAATTCACAGGCTGATGAGAGGAGCAGACAAGAAGACATTAAATGGACATAATAGCAAAAGCCATGATGGCAATAAACAGGATGGTGGGCTGGAGAAGGGTCTGGGTATTCTATACGTCTGGGTACTGAATACTGAATACGTCTGTATAAGGACTATGTGATGATCACAATTAGTGTTTGACAGTTATGAATCTTATGCAGATAAGCATGTAGCTCACCACATTCCAGAATTCTTTCTTTCAGGTCTGAAATGCAGAAGCACCCTGCATGAAACAGAAAATTAGTCCCTTGTGATCCTTAAGACACAGAAACAACCGTCTGGCAGCCGAGCTGCAGGGTGACATCCTCAGGGTCTAATCAACACAAATAGGCAAGGTTTATGTCAAATATCAGTTTCACGTAGTCATATACCTATAATTCAAGGCTTCTCATCACCTTGCCTAATGCAAAGGATGGGAAAAACCCATTTAAATTTTTTATTTCATATATATATTCATATAAAAAAATTATTTCCACTGATGTCCCCATTGTTTTTTCTGCTCCACGAGTCCCCAAAGCAGAAAAAGTGAGAATATCCTAAAACCTCTAGAACACTCAAAGAAAATCAGAATCAATTCATTGCACCATTCTGAGGGTAAAACACATCAGTCTGTGCAATGCAGTCCTGCGTCAACTCTTTCTAGTTGAAAGTCAGACAAATGACCATTTTTAAACCCCAGGCTGAATCGCTTGTGTTTTCCTAGGCGAAAATATCACCTTTACAGCCAAAGTCAAGGCTGAAGATCTTCTGAGAAAACCCACTGTCAAATGGTTCAAAGGGAAATGGATGGATCTGGCCAGCAAAGCTGGAAAGCACCTTCAGCTAAAGGAAACCTTCGAGAGGCAGACTCGGGTATGGTCCTGACTCCTGCATGGGGCTCATTCCTTCTGTGAGGCAGATGGTCATTTTCAGGTTCAACTTTGAAAGGTTGCAGCCTCAGAATATTCTCTGGAGTTCCCATTCCTAGATTGCTCTGCTACACCCACGGGCTGCAGAGACACAGTTACCCTCCTGTGTTGAGAACATTCCCCGGGAATCCCCCAATACAGACACATCTCTCAGTCAATGCTGAGAAATATGATGCCGTGTCTGGACACATCCCATTACAGGTGTACACATTTGAGATGCAGATCATCAAGGCCAAAGAGAACTACTCAGGGAACTACAGATGCGAGGTCTCCTATAAGGATAAGTTTGACAGCTGTTCGTTCGATCTTGAAGTGCATGGTAAGGGAGCCGCCTTCTTGCCCGTATACATGTGACTTTTTGTTTTTTAATGGGTGTGAGGGAATGGAGAAGGTGGTTCTGTAATACTATGAGATTTGGGGAGGAATTTTAAAACTGTGTGTGTTTCTGATCATGGAAGTCTGCTAAACTCAATTGTTGCCGGACAATTTAAAAGTGGAGTTGAGGGAATGATATTGCTAAGTGGTATCTCGTTCATGCTATCTGTCTTCCTTCAGTCTCTCAGGAATGCTGTCATTTTGTGTTGCCACCGGATGTAACTGTTTTACTGGGTTCGCTTTTAGAGATGAGGGTGTCAGGACACCCAGGTGGAAGGGAGGATTTCTCACAGGGGCTCATGTCAGATGTGGACGTTTTCCATCCACGTGCTCTGTGTGTTGTCCAGAGTGGACTTAACAGGGATACATGTAAAGGTGTGCACTTAGGTTGGGAAAGATAAACATTTTATAAGAATACAAGAAAAGTTGAGTTGGCAGCAAACATCATAAACTCCAGCTGAGTCCAAAGTGTCATGTAGCTGCAGAAGCCAAAAAAAGCTGGTGTGACTGAGCTATTCCAAGCAGTACAGGGTCCCTGGTGAGCAAGTGAGTCTTTCTTCTGAACCACTCTGCTTACTCCACAACTGGACCGCCTGTGGCCATGGATACCATACCTCACCTCGATCCTTTCTGCAGTAAGGTAACCAGGAAGATAGGGGTCCAAAAACCTCACTTGAGTGTAGGGTAAAGCAGGATGGGCTTGAGCAGAGGGGGCAGGGCTGCCACACAGAACAAGGAAAGACCCTTTCCCATGCACACAAGAGGCACTGAGGCAGACCAGAATCAAAGGGTGGAAATTATGGGAAGGTGAGTTGTGTCCTAACATTAGAATGAGCTTTTTCTGCCAAACTACCGCAGAGCAATAATTTAGTCTGTTAGTAAAGGCATAATTCCCTCTTAAAGCCAGGAAGGTTGTGAGATTTCCGTTCAGAGAGATGTCAAACAGAGGTCTAATAAGTGGGAATCTGACCCTGAGCAGTTGCTTCGCCCTGGCTGGGCATCTCTGAGAATCATCTGGAAGGCTTTTTAGACTTTCTTAAAATCCCTCCCTGACCTGATGGATCAAAATCTCCAGCAGAGAGGACCAAGAAACTGGTATTTTTAAGTTTCTTGGGTGATTCTACTGGGCAGGCAGGTCGAGTGACTGCTGGACAAGGTAACCTCTAAGGTCCCTTGACTGAAGGAGGATGAGGTGCGATGACGTCTTGCGGCTCAGCCGTCCAGGGGGCCACCCTCTCCACCTGACAGTCTTTTCATCTGAAGAAGCCACGACCGGTAAAGGAAGTGAACACAAAACTGCCTTCTTTATGGGTATTTATTTTATTGTTTTCTTTTCTTTCAAAGAATCTACTGGGACTACTCCGAACATTGACATCAGATCTGCTTTCAAGAGAAGGTAACCTCAAAAGGCAGCTTTAGGTAGCTTTTATATAACGCAGAAGTGGAGGATTTTCAAAACACTCCTCACCTTCTACACTCCGTCTTCCAAATGAGACAAACTTTTTCGTTGTAGTCAACCACACCATTTATTTAAAAGCTAGAAAAATCATGGGTTCAGTGCCCAATTAAGCACATACTGATCATGTTTTAGAACTCCCATTTTTCAAGTTTTTCACAGTTGCCTTAGAAAGACACACTTTCTACATATTCATAAGTGGCTTCTTTCTTAATTGCATTGTTTTCCACCAAATGATCAAAAGAGATATACAAAGGGACACATTTCACAGTATCATTTAAGTAATGTCTGAAAGCTTTTATTTGTACTGCTTTTTTATTTAGAAATCACGTATGGTGCTACTAAACCATGTGCCCCAGAAAACTAAAATTAAGTAGCTACCTATTGAAGTTATTACCATGTAACACTGTATTCTCCTCAGTGAGAGACCACAGAATCTACTGGCATTAAGAATACTGTCCAAAGCAAAATTGAGGTGCCTATTTATTTTTACAACTACCAAGGCTGAAAAATCAGGGGGTCAAGGAAGAAAAATACATTTTTTTCTAGTCTCTGAGAAATGTAACTAGCCCCTTATGTTACCTTCTGTGCTTAATTATTCCATAATATAAATTCTTTCATGAAAAAAATGTTTTGTTCTCCCTAAGATAGAATCCACATCAAGCTTTGTTGAATAAGGCAAGCCATGCTGAACTATTACAGAACAATGATTTAGTCTGTTAATAAAGGAATAATTCCTTCTTAAATTACAAATAAATCAGAATTGTAATTATTTTAAAAAGATATTTAAATATTACTAGGATTTTGGTGTATTTCGTATTAACTTTAAAAAACATCATTTTCAGATCCTCTTACTGTCTTCCACCTCCTCATCCCGTGCTCAGTAATGCATGGGCTTGAAACTATGCTCATGCCACATATAAGTATATCATTAGGAGAGGGAGACATGGTCTACTGAGTTTTGTGCTTTAAAAGAATTGAAACGTGCTTGCTTCAAAAGGCCTGCAAACACCTGCTATTAAATACATATTGAAAACACATTATTTGAGTTTAATTCTTATAACTCACATGCTATACACACTGTTTTTAAACCCACAGACTCTTTACTTAGAAACCATAACTAACATTTGTAAAGAGCAGGACACAAAATCTTCATTAAAAAAATTAAACATGTAAGTAAATACGTAGTGCCATTTAAATGTCAGCTCTAGAGCTTCTATTTAGAGTTTCCATGAAATCCCCATGGTGGCTGCATGCCTAATTTAAGATGCATTTCTCTATAGAAAAACACTTTTAACAACTACTAGTAAGGGGCTTATTAACAATCCCAAGACAATTTTTGAAAAACACATTTAAAAAGGTATAAATATTAACGAGAAAGCTAAGATTAAATTACTGCCCTTTGAAATGGAAAGGAATGCATCTTTTAAAAAGTTCTGTGTTAGCTCCATTTTCATGCTGTGTTGGTATTATATTATCTGATTCATCTGTTCATGGACACAAAGAGGTTACCTTTGAATATAAGGCTTTGAACTTATATATCTCACAGGGGTTCGCTTCACCCTCCAAGCCAATCTCTGTCTTACCCGAGCAACAGAGATCAGCAAAAGTCCTTTGCTTTTTACACAGATACGTTTCTAGAGGCCCCGACCTGCAAAAACAAAGTACTTTGTGTTGTTTGGCTTAAGTGCATTTGTGTTACCCGGTTTTAACACAAATCCAAGCAGTTTTATATATGCAATCTACAAAAATGTGTCTTCTGAAATCGTAGAGGAACACAAGCTCCTCGTGTACTTTTCCACAAGTGCGTACTCCAAACATTTAAAATGTCACTTGTGTGAAAAGAAATAGTTTGTGTTAATTTAGTCCTTGTGTGCTGGTACAAAATTGCATATCTGTCACATGTAGAGTGTTTGGGTAAAACTGTTCTGGAGTGTCCACATTAAACCTGCTTTTCTTTTGTTAATGACAGTGGAGAAGGCCAAGAGGATGCAGGGGAACTTGACTTTAGTGGTCTCCTGAAGCGTAGGTGAGAACCGAGCTCTGTGGCCTGGAAAGCTTTCAGACACCCACTCACAGAAGTCAAGTTTACAGTGGATGTTGTTCAAAGAAGTTTTCACTTCTTGAAATGTGTTTTGCTTGTAGATTCTAACAGTTGACTAAGAAAGAGATAGAGAAATGACTGCATACTAATCTGTTAAGGACTTTAACTGATGCTTTTAAACTTTCTTTATAAAAGTTTCATGAGCCTTCACATATTTCCTTTGATGGGGACGAGGAGATCTGAAAACTGAGACATGAGACTGAAATACCTAGAAACCTGTCCACAGGATTCCTCCTCATGATGGAATAAGTAAAGCCTCTGTTCGCCTGCCTTTGGTACTTGATGTCACAGTTCTGGTAGGAGTCTGCACCTATATATGTATTTTAAGAGGCAGATCTCTTTAGTTTATTATTTATGAGTCACTGTATTTCTTCAGATCTAGGACACCATTGATTTTAAGATGTACCAGTATTTTATAAATCCCTAAGCAATGGAAAAAGCGTTCCAAATTGTTTATTATGACCCACTGTGGCTTATAAGTTGCATCCTTATTTCACAGATGTTTTAAGTGTCCCCAAAATGTGCATTTTAGAAGCGTTAAAATATAGTAGCAAAATGGAAATCAGTGTTATCAGTACCTCACTCCCCCCTGCATTGTTCTTGCTTGCAAAAACATTTGTAGAATTTCATTATAAATATTTATCACAACATTTTATAGACTTTCTAACCATATATATGGACAATCATATACTATACTATATATAACATTATACATATATGTTTACTATAGGACAAAAGCAACAAAAATGCTTTTTGCTGACATTGTGTTTATCTAGCAAATTTGTGAATAAACACAGTACAACTACAATTCTTTTTTTTTTTTTTTTTTTTAAGTCAGGGTCTCACTCTGTTGCCCAGGCTGGAGTGCAGTGGCATGCTCACGGCCCCCGCAGTCTTGATCTGCTGGGTTCAGGTGATCCTTCCACCTCAGCCTTCCAGTGAGCTAGAACTACATGCACACGCCACCACACCTGGCTAATTTTTTTATTTATTGGAGAGATGAGGTCTCACCAAGTTGCCCAGGCTTGTCTTGAAACTATGAGGTCAGGCTCTCACCTTGGCCTCCCAAAGTTCTGGGATTATAGGCATGAGCCACTGTGCCTAGCCTGACAATTCTAAATTAATAGTTCTATCAGTTTTCACTTAGCTTTTCGGGGTTTTTTTTCTTTTTTTTTTTAGCGCTTTCATGGTTATTAAAGGAACATAAGTACAAATATGCTTTACTACAAATTACAAATAATTGTAATGATTTTTATATATGCATGTATAGTAGGATGACTTTATTCAAGCTCCTGTGAATGAAAAAATGCACGTCAGCCCTCAACATGCAGGTCGAGAACAGAAATATTAATGGGAGTGAATTATCAATTATTGATGGAGATTAGCCAATGAATAGACTGTAGCAATATAAGTACATCTTTCCTTCTCTGGATACTTCAAATAGTCATTACTCTCAATAATATTAATACTCCCCAAATGCATTTAAAGCAATAGTATATGTAGCACCCTTAAGTGAGTCTCACTTGTCTTCATTCTATAGGGGAGAAACTAAGGTCCAGAGATGGCGAGAGACTCACCCCAAGTCACACAGGCATTAGAAGCAGGGGTCCAGACCCAAGCTTCCCTATTCTGAGTCAGGCCTTTTCCTGTAACTCCATATAAGAAACACATTCTGAATCTACCCTGGAAGCTGGTGCTTCCATGCATAACACAAATGGACACATCAGAAAGAGAGCTATTTATTCTCCCTGCAATCGTTTACTCAACCAGGAAAAGATGAAATGCTTTCTTCGTGGAGAGTGCCAGGTGAGGTGAGGGAAAGAATGCAGTGCCTGGCAGGTAGGAAGGAATGGATACATACTCATAGGAGGGTCAGAACATGGATTTGAGTCTCAACTCTACCACATACTAATGATGTGACTGTAGTCAAAATACATGACCCATTTAGGACTCGGTTTCCACATGTGTAAATATGAACAGTAAAAACTACTTAATCAAATGAATGTGAAAATTAAATTAGACACAAAAGTTCTGACTCACAAGTAGCAGATAAACATTCACTTCCACTAAGGAAATACGACATTTTTCCTCAAAAAACTTGTATTCTTAAAGAACAAAATGCACATACACAATCAATAAAAATGTGATACAGTATATTTTAAGCGCCATGCTCTGATTAAAAAGGAAAAAGATGACTGGGTGTGGTGGCTCACGCCTGTAATCCCAGCACTGAGGTGGAAGGATCCCTTGAGCCCAGGAGTTCGAGACTAGCCTGGACAGTGTAGCGAGTCCTCGTCTCTACAAAAAATAAATGAACTGTGTGTGGTGGCATGTGTCTGTAATCCCAGCTACTCGGGAGGCTGAGGTGGAAGGATCGCCTGAGCCCATGAGATCAGTATAGCCTGGATGACAGAGTGAGATTCCAACTCAAAAAAATAAATAAAGGAAAAAAGAAAGAAAAAGTAATAGACTAGTTCTACCGGTATTCCTAGAATAAAAGAAATCTAATGATATGATCAAAATGATGAAAGAAAAACAATCTTTTTTTTTTTTTAAATGGGCTGGCATCCAACATGTCTCCAGTTCTCATTTTCTTTGTATCCCCTAATTATGATTTTGATTCATAATTAGATTGCTGTTAACATAAGACTGTATTCATTTAAGTACTATACTAATCCACAAGTATAACTTTAGAAATCACTGTGTTCCTACTAATTTGTGAATTGCATGTGTTTTTTTTTTTTTTGGCATTAATGACACATGATTAACATTTCTATTCCTTTGAGTGTGTGTGTGTGTGTGTGTGTGTGTGTGTGTGTGTGTGTGTGTGTCAAAATCCCCATCAGAATAAATATCATTACCACAAACCTCTCTATTCAACAAAAGAGCTCTCTGCCCTGAACAAAGCCAGCTTATTTCAAATGACATCAGCTAAATGAGAGTAAATCTTTGGGGCAAGTTCCTGAACGGGATTTGACCTGCACAAATATTTGAAAGCTTTATTCTGCATGAAATTTCTATAACTGCTGTATTCTTCACTAGGACCATCAAGTTATAGAAATTTTCATGTAGACGAAAGTTTTGTGAACATTATACAGGCCTATCTCAAGGCTTGGAAAGGAATCAGAAGTGCCTATAGAGAACGTGGGGTTTCTCTTCACTATAACTTAACACAGCCCTGCAGACAGGGTCACATGCAGCCACCATGAAAGTAAAAATACGCTCCAGGTGAGAGCCTTGATCTTACTATCCAGTACCACGAAAATGTTCTTCTTTGCAATTTGGGATATAATCAAGTGATGGACAGAAAAGGAAGGAATGGGTGAGACATCACTGGTGTTCTTATATGAAATCTGGTAAGACTAGGAATGCGGTAGAGTGGCGTGTAACGGTGTTTTAATGAAAATATGGTGAACATGATGGCTTTTCTAAATCTACCAACAAAATGGACTCAGGAAACTACATTAAAAAGGAGGGGCTCTATTACTGGCTTCCTTCAGGTAACTGTTCATCTCGTGGCTCTAGTTATGACTCAGTGCTTGATTGGTACTTCTTGTTAGCTATCTATATCTAGTTTGATATCTTTAAGTCCTTCTACCAATATCAGGAGATGTCGTATTATGTGTATTTAAGTCTTCTTGGTTAAAATCTATATTTAACATAATGCAGTATGGCATAATTTTACAGTCTAGGGACTATATTTAAGCTACAATGTAACAAAAATAGAACAATAATAAAGTATATTGAAGAAACACCATGCAGAGAATATATACATATATTCATATATACAAATATATCTTAATTGCAATTCTCCTAGACTTCCTACTCGAATAGGTAAAGGATATATTTGCAGTGTAGACTGTTTTCAGGCAGTAGATTTAGTGGATCTAGCAGATTATTATCAATATTCCAATTTCAGGACAACTTTTAAAAACTTGTCAATTTCCCTATGTTATAAAGGATGTAGTTATTATTTCAGTGAGATAAAAATAATGCCTATGTCTTGAGCTTTTAAGAGGCACATCTTCCTAATGGTGATGTCTCGTCCTTCCTATCAAGATTACTGAAGGACCAAGGACCTCTCACTTCCTTCCATTTTTCAAAAGATTTTTCTCGGTGCCCCCATACCTCATTGGGCAAAAAGATTTAGTGACAATGTAAAATGGAAATTAGACACTTGGAAGTTATTCTTGCCTAATGCTACCCTAAAGTGTTAATATGTGCATACTTCTTCCCTTCCCATATACTCTATCCATTATTTCCCTCTCAAAGTACATATGAAAAGAAGAAACTCTGAAACCGGTGTAATTAATGTGACAATTCAAACTGTGTAACCTATCATTCCCTAACATGATAGCTTGAATTCGTTTCTGCTATCTGATGTAAAAGAGGTATTAACCAGTTTTCCGGAAAGTCATAGTCAAACTGGTGTTACTCACTTTTCCTAAAGTTTCCTAAAGTTTTCCTGAGTTTTGGTTTCATTTTGTGGCTTAAAATAAGGGAAGACAAGTGTATTTTAAATCTTTTATTTTTCAGTCATATGTGTTTTTTATATGTTCTATACATTTTTTAGTCACTGATAAAAATTTGGGATCATAATTTTGATAATTACCCCACAGAGTTACTTGCTCCTTGTTCAAGGAATCCTAAACCGTTTGCTTTGAAGTTTAACATTTATCTTTTTATAATTCATACCCAACCTGCTTTCAAAAACATTCAAGACAGTACTTTAAGATGAAATAGGTAATTTTTTAAAAATCTCACTCTCCTTTTCCCCGGCCAGTCTAGAAAAACAACTTCTTTTTAAAAAGCATGGGTATCCACAGAAATCATAGCAAAAACAAATTTAAAAAAACCTTCGTGGCAAAACCTTCATGAAGTGTTTTTTGTGTAAAAACCGGCAAAAATGGCCAATGTACGTATTTACTAACATGGCAGGGAAAATCCAAGGATTTTAAATAACGTATTTGTACTGTCACCACATTGAGCCAGCGTGTGTCCATTCGCGAAGGCAGAAAGAGCATTTTTCTTTCATAGGCCAGCATTAAAATCTTTTAGTTGAATCCACTTTTCAAAACGAATTCGATATCCATATCCTAACTGAACACCCTTCTTAGGTTTCTCAAAATTCCATCGTCTAATTAGACTTCAAAGTTGAAATAAGCAAAAATACGTTCAGGGCATTTTCCGAGAGCCTCTGCTCCCCCTGAAATCGTGTCTCACCTAGGAGGTTGAAAGCGTTCCAGTAAGTGCACGTGCGATCTGGCACCACCCGGGAGCTTGCCAGGCCTCCAGGCAGGCGTGCGCCACCTGCTCCCGGGCGTCACGTGCTCAGGCTTTCGGCAGGGCAGTTCACACCGACCCGAGAGAGCACCGCCGCCCCCGGCCTCCCCGGTGCACGAGGGCCAGGGCGGCCACTGAGCTAGGCGATGGTTCTCCCCGGCCAGGGAGGTGAAGCAGCAGGAGGAAGAGCCCGAGATCGACGTGTGGGAGCTGCTGAAGAATGCGAACCCCAACGAGTACGAGAAGATCGCCTTCCAGTACGGCATCACCGACCTGCGCGGCATGCTCAAGCGCCTCAAGCGCATGCGCAGAGTGGAGAAGAAGAGCGCAGGTGAGCGGGGGCCG